TATAGATCACCCTCTGGAAATTTAACATAACTACAATCGCTGGTTGGTGGTTTGGAACATGAATGTTATTTTTCCATTCAGTCGGGAATTTCATCATCCCAACTGACGAAGTCATATTTTTCAGAGGGGTAGGGCTCAACCACCAACCAGCTATAATAACTATGGACAATCGAACTTCATAGGCTATGTTCCATACCTATGGCTATGTTTATTGGAGGCTAAGGGTTTTTTTAACCAGCCATATTTGATGGTTACAAGCCATAAACAAGTGGTACCGTTGGGGATGGTAGATTCGCCGGTTTTTATTGGAAAGTACCCGGCCTGGTAAACATACAAAAAGCTATTGAACATGGTCATTTATAGTAAGTTTTCCCATTAAAAACGGTGATTTTCCATAGTTATGTTAGTTTACCAGAGGGTAATCTTCGAACACCCGATCCAGGGATCTATTTGGCAGGGTTTATAGCAAAATTAGGGCGATGCTAATATGGAATCATAAAGTAAAGTAAGAAATCATGGCATAAATTGGCATACCCCTTGTCTCACAAATTGATGGTGATATTCCATGTTCACCCGATTGGGGAATGGCTCAAAATAATACATGCCAAACAAATCATAGAATTGTACAAGTAGTGCTGAATAGTAAAGGTCCATGGTTACGATTTACTGAGGCAATGCTGTTTGGCAGTCGAGTTCCTTTGGATATTTAGAGGGGCTAGGATATTATACATATTACATACATGCACAAGTAGCAAAAGCTGTGCATTTCAATCAACAGAGATTTGAATTTAACTTATCTATAATGTGGATATCACAAAAAGTGAGAAGAAAACAAGAAGCTGTAGCGGTATTATAGTTATACGTAGTTGTTGATGAGATGGCACCACGTACTCTTGTTTGATTGTGGTTTTCAGTATGTATGCTTCTAGTACATAGAGAGAGAAAGTGAGAACAAAAAAACAAGAGGTTATTGTGTGTTCTTTTCACCACCATGTAACCACCACAACAGGGAATTTCATTGCTCACATAGAATCATGTTGTAGTTACCAGCAAGAATGGGAATCTAAGCTATGAGTGGCCATAGCCCATAGACATACAGGGTCCTTTGCAAAACGTGAGCCAGCCGGGAACATCCTCGGGGTGTCACGGAATTCTGTACGAGATAGTTGATGATTAAACATATATATATACACACACAAGATCTACCTGGTTCTTACAGTTTCAGCGCAACTGCATAAGGGATAAGGGACCATCCTCAACATGTTTTTTAAAACGTACAAGTACATTCGAACAAGACATGGTCATTTTTCCCAAATGACCCTCAGAATTAGGGTCGTTGGAGAGTCAAGGTACATATGCACATCTCATGTTTCATGTTTTAGCTGACGATTCTCCTCAGATATATGATTCCAGGTGATGCTCGATAGGAAACCATAGTAAATCACAATAAATAAATTTAATTATAACATTATAATTATATGATATAGATGCTATAGATCGTGGAAATCAGAGTAAAATATAATAGAACAATGATAGAACAGTCAATGAATCCCAATAATCATAGTAAATTTATATAGTCAATATTCTGTACTATGTATAAATATAAACCGTAAATCCCATGCCGTTAAAATTTTCGCATGAGAGTTATCCTCTTGCCCGGAGGTGGCCAGGGCCAAGGCGTTCGGACGTGGAGTTGTCCCATGGTGGTACTATCTTGTCCCATGGTTGGGTAAATTAGAATATCCCATGTGGATATCCAATATAATATATATATATATACATATATATATATATATATAATTTTATAATATGAATATGTATGTTTAGGGATGGCATGCTGCTTTTGAACACTAGTATAATTCAGTGACACAAAAAAACACACAACCAGAAGCAGAAGAAGCCCTCGTTGAATCTTTGTTTTTTTCGTGGGAAAAGTTTGGAAGACCAGCGGATGATTTCATACCCAGCAAGTTGCTGGAGACGTCGACGTCGGGATTCATTTCAAGTCCTCCAAGAGTTGGTCACAGTTCCGTTTCCATATTTTCAGACAGAAGTCAAGTTTTATTTGAAAACTCAGAAATCTTGGTCTCCAGGTACTTCTAGTAGAAGTCTCTACCTTTTTTGAAAAGGGAACAATTTGGACGCCTACTTTGACAGCTCCGGAAGTGTCAACCTTTCATCCGACCTTGGTTTCGGGGATCCGACTGCACGGGGTCCTTTACTTTAGATGGATGATACAGTATTGGACTATCTGACTATCTAATCGTTTGCTATGGGGGATGCTTACTAACCAGCTAAACGAATCTAAACGAGACATGTTTGTCTTTGCAGGGTATCACAGGTTAACCATGTTCAATTACGATGATTCATAACTGGTTGGTGGTTTGGAACATGTTTTATGACTTTCCCATCATATTGACGAAGTCATATTTTTCAGAGGGGTAGGCTCAACCACCAACCAGATAAGGTCTGTTTCTGTACGGCTGGCAATTTGCAAACGAAAAAAACAAACAGGTGTCCTGCAATGGCGCCCAAGCAGATTTCTTGTGCAACGCGCCCAACGCGCATGGTATGGCTCTCCATTTGGACGCGACCTCACAACAAAATAAACAATCAGCACTGCAAATGACGGACTATTCTGGGAAAACCTAGGGAAGCAACGCAAAAAAAAATTGGGGCACCCAGTTTTGACCCATGTCCGTATCCATTTGGCTGTGGTTTCAAGATGTTTCGGCTGTGTTTTCCATGTTCTATCCTGCCTCGGCGCTAGTTCAACCACTTTGGTGATTTTGATGATGAGTTTCCCTCAAAGTCAAGGGATTTTCCAACATTCAAAAAAGGTCATCTAACATGGCCATGGCAGCCATGGCCATGTTTATATAATATGGTAAATCCTCTACCAGTAAGTGTCCTTGGCTATGTTAAATTCCGAGAAAGCATTGAGTGTGGGGATTTGCTATGTGTTTATTGTGGACATGTGCCATTTAACCTGGGGAAATTCATGATGACATGTCCATTGATACTGTGGATGGGCCAGCGAAATCCTTGATAAACCACCAGTTGGTAGATGGTTTATCCATGTTTACCCTCTGGTAAACTAACATAACTATGGAAAATCACCATGTTCAATGGGAAAATCCACTATAAATGGTCATTTTCAATAGCTATTTTGACATAACCAGAGGGTATCCCCTTATAATCCCATTATTTACAGTGATTCATAGTTACCTAACGGTTGCCATCCACAGTGCAGGTCAACAGTGGTTCTGTGCCGGCCTCAATGGTGGGGCCAGCAGGACGGGGGATGGTTGATACAAGCTGTAAACTTAACGTGAGGACTGGGGATGGTTTATGGATGTTTATGGCCTTGAGTTTACCACGTTATATATAATATATATATATATATATACATACTATTATAGATAGGGATGATATGGAAAATATTCATAGGTCAGGCATTGATCCAAGAATCAAGGAACATCATGAAAAACGGATGAATTCCAGATTGTTGCCTTCACCAATGGTTCCTGGATTCACTGGATGGATGTGTGGCCCCAGAATTGCATGTTTTTTACATGAACCCACTATTGTTACCCTCTGGTAAACTAACAGTTTGCTATTGAAAATGGCCATAGAAATAGTTGATTTACCCATTAAAAGTTGTGATTTTCCCTACTTATGCTAGTTTACCAAAGGGTACTTCTAAAACATGCCAATCCATTGATTTTGGGATCTTGGATGCTCCTTTGACAGAAGGTATACGCACCCCATGATTTGATAAGAACTCACTCGGGGCTGGACTAAGAGCTACAAAAGGGTAGTGGGGGGCCGGTTGATTTTGAAGAAATCAGAGGAAAGGGTCAAACCCAAAAAGATAGAACATGTAGAAAATAGATCAAACACGTTTGGCAGGTTTGGTAGGATTCTACCATGCTGTCTTTATTGTTCGAAGTTGCTGTGAAGAAAAATATGTGAAGTGATGTTGTCGGCATACATGAGAAGCTGTCGGCCCTACCATTCCTGTTCTGGACTCTGGACATGGCACTTCTTGGGCTTTCCAGTTTGATTGCAATATGGGTAATATGGGCGTGTCTGATAATTGGGGATATACCTACAATGTGAGGCCCCCCAGTTGTAAGTTGGTTTATAAGCCCCAGTAACTATAGTTGTAAGTACCATAAACCATAGTTATTGGAGTTATAAACCAACTGAACGCTATCTTGGGGGCCTCACATTGTATAAATAGCCATTTAGTGGGCATTGTCAAACAAACCCATGTGCCAAACCAGGGCAAAACCACGGAATCCCCTCCTGTCCACCCCAAAATAGCTTGGATTCATGTTCAGTAGCCCCAATCTTGGGCCCATAGGTTTTAACCGATAGCCATAGAAATGTATAATATGATGATGTACATGTGTATTTCAGATAATATATATATATATATACATACAATTACATACATACATATATATATATATATCATGTATTTAGATGGACGGAAAGACAAGACCAGACAGATAGGCAGACAGATCGATAGATAAATAGATAGATAGATACTGATAGATAGATGTCAGGACATGTCCTGCCGTTTCCAATGAGGCATTTTTTGCTCTATGATACAATCACATAGAATCCATGGCATAAGCCCAACAACCTGCAATGAAACAGAATGGGAAACCAATTTGGGTATGGGTCACATTGGGTACTGTACCCCAAATTCGAAAAGTGAACGGTTTATACATAGCCGAAATCACCTGTCACCTTTACACAGGTGACCCATCCTTGTTTCCAACCAGCCCTTCACTTTGCTGATTTACATCGCCGTGTTTCCAAAAACACTGACAACATACAGTTTCTTACCTTCCATTTTTGCCAATGTGTTACAGATCGGGTAAATCTGTGGATGTGTTTTATAGTTTGGGTCGTCTCCGAAAGCCACTTCACTGCTGCACATCTTCCCAATCCGAAGTTTTTTTTGGCGCCTTCGGTGCCGACAATAGCCGCTTCAACGGGAGCATAGGGTGATGGAATGCAGGGACTTTTCTCCAAGGTGCGCAGGGTGTGGGGAGGAATTTCCGAAGGGGAACATGTTTAACATTCATAGGGGATGTTAGTGCAAGGTGCTACCTCAGAGTTGTCGAAGTTGGCTTAGCTAGTCATAGCTTGGGTTTGTGGTAGATGTCTCTAGAATTGTTTGGAGTGAATGGGCTTCATACAAGCAGGCTTACAGGATGGGGCCCCCAAGATAGCTAAGTTGGTTTATAAGTGGCTTAACAATGGTTTATGGTAGATATAACTATAGTTACTGGGGATTATAATGGTTTATAAACCAACTTATAACTGGGGGGCCCCATCCTGTACAACTGTGCCCATGACTGCGGCAGGTCCCTGTCCTCCAGCGGCGTGCAAGTGCTGCCGGTGCTCGGCGATCTCCGACGGAGCCTGCGCAGTGAGCTGAGAGTGGCGCAGCTGAAATGGGCATCAATTTCTTTGGAAAGTTTGCTAATTAATAATGTTAAACACCCCCTATGATTAGAGGGTGTTTTGCTGGAAAATCCCCCAGTCAGCATTTCAAAAATCCCATGCCCCTAATATTAAACACCTCCCTAGAAGCCATGATAAGCCATGGGTTTAGTAGGAGATTTCCACATTCTATTGTTTTTTTTTTAGGGTGTTTGATCTTACAGGGATCGGATTTTGATTTTCCCTTGATCCTCCAAGTTTCCCTAGAAATGGGTCACTGTCCCAAAAGAATAGGATATAATGATATGTATATAATGGGTATATGATTTAATTATCTCATTTTTTGAGAACTTGGAGGGTCTATAGGTATGGGATTTTTATGTTTGGGAATCTCCTTTATCTGTCGGGAACACTGTAAAACGAATAGGAACAACAAATGTAGATCCTTGCGTCCTTGCTTTTGGGGTACATGGACCAAGTTTGGAGGCTTAAAACCAAGGGTTGAGCTCGGATGACCCTTGGGCAAATGATAGAGAAATTATAGGTAAACGATGGGAAAATAGTGGATATGAATAAGGGGATTAAGCATTGGCTACAGAATGATACAGAATGGGTAAATCATTGGTAAATAATAAGGTTGGATCATGATTGACATTCTTTTCAATGGACAATGAACAGATTACAGATTAATATAACTATAATGGTTACTTAAAATGATATGTAACATGGTAAGAAGGGTTAAGAAATATGTTTCTGTTTTTGGGGTATATATATATATATATCGTGGCCTAGTGGACTAGTCCTTACGTTAAAACCTCCGGTGTTTTTTTTAGTTCAGGGATCATCCCAGGGGTAGCATGATGAACAGATACCGAACGACATTCCGCGCAGAAAAATTCAACGGGCCATGAAGAAAGGGAACCGATTCATTGGAGGTACCTACCATATATAAGGATATATAAGGCCTATTTTTGAGGCCTATGTTTCCGGGAATATCCCAGCAAAAAAAGGCCTGAAAAATGGTACAGTACCTCCATTTTAGGATCCTGGAATTCCCATTAAAAAATGGTTCCAAATCCATGAAAATACTCAGTTGTGTCAAGGTCGAATAGCCATTGGCCAATCGCTGAGGGTCACATAAGTTAAATGGGGTTGATTTGGATTGGGAAGTTGATTCCATCCATGTTACTAGTTAAGCATCATTCATTATCCCAACTTACATTGCCATTTGGGGGATGTACACCGTTTTCAGTCAAACCCATTTGGTGAGGAACAGCGATGTTTGTTGCTTAAGCAATTATATAACTACCACATAGTATAGAACTACTCATGAACATTTGGGTGTGAAGCAAGTAAACATAGGCTTTGCCAACAAACCAACGTGCGAGAATATGAAGTTGGTACAACACACAACCAACAAACATTTGGTTTTCTTCACTCACCAACATCTGTTCATACAAGAAATGCAACCAGATATTGCCAACATTGCTGGGCATATCAGATATTTTTCCTGGCTCGGAAGTATCCTGATCCCGGTATTTTTTTGTGGATTTGAAGTACAACAAGGACCCATCATTACAGGTGAAAGAAGGTAAACATAGGTAAACCTCCAACGCCAACCACTATTTATTTGAAGACATACAAGACAACACTGGCTACCCTGCAATTTAAGATAGCTGTGGAAAATGGCCCCTTGATAATGAATTTGCCTATTCGAAATCAAGAATCATGGTAGGTTTCCATATATAGCTATGTTAAATTTACCCGAGTTTTTTTCTTAATCCAATGATGTTCATGTTTGAAAGACGTTGAGATTTACAATTTGACATAGCAGTTGAAATGGTGCGCGAAATAAATCCATGCTGCGGGACAGGAACATTTCCTGCCTCACAGTGCTTGGCGTCGCAAGTGCCCAGGAAGCTTGTCGTGATTTGCCTGAGTTCAAGCCAGGCCGGAGAGTAGGATGCTGGGGAAACGGCTGGCTTTTCTGGGGTGTACCAAAGATTGATCATGCATCCATGTTAGATGAGTACGAAATAATATGTAAATAGATTAAAATACTGTACATGTTAATTATATATATAGAGATTATAAGACCGCGCACACACATGCGAAAGTCCCAGCATGTCCTCAGTGATTTCTGGACATCCCCTGTGTGGCTTCAATTGTTTCAATGGCTTTCTGAGTGGTTCAACTCCGAAATCCTGGTATTGGATTTCTTCAGAGGTTGGTGTTATGATAATCAGGGGGTTAGATTATCTTCGACCCTCTGGAATTTCTAAAAGTGTATCTGAAAGTTTAGAGACCCAATATAAAGATAAACGTTTTTTTTGTCATCATGCATTGATTCAAGTTCAACATATATATATATATATTTATACATATAATTATGATATAGATGAATATAACATATTGTATCATATAACATTCACATATATGACATCATATAGATATATAATATGAACACATCTTAATATTGTAATGTAATATAGAATATGCATTATATTATTTCACTCTGTATATATATATATACACACTATAGTTTTGTGATGTTTTGATCACTACAAAGTTTATCCAACCTGCCCTTTTCCGAAAGGCGTACGGCGACTTGCCCTCGGCAGCTTCGGGGCTTTGGGACTTCTGGCTGATCAGTGGTGGCCTTGGGTGATCCAAGTTGATCATTCGGAACCTGGTTTAACCAACAATATTGGAACTATTCCCTGGTCATGTGGTTAAAACAATGCCATAAACTATCCATTTGGGAATGGTTTATAATTGCCACCTGTAAACATGATGATGACTGGGGGATGGTTTATGATATTGTTTTAACCACATTACATGAACAATGTGGCCCTATGATGAAATATTAGAATAATTTTCATAAATAGAACCAACAAAGGGTGCACACTAACCATGGTTAACCCAACAAGAAAAAATGGTGTTTAACACGGTTTAACCATCCTGAAATGGGATTCAGTGGTTGGTGCTTTGACATGTTTTTTTTCCAACAAAACATATTTGGGGTAGTGATCCCCAATGACGGGGGGGGTTCTGGAAACTCAAACCTTCTGAAATCAAGAAAATCAAGGCGGAGGCCCCAACAAGAATTTGGATGATAACCTTAATGTTGGAACTGGCAGACTTTGAGGTTCCTTGTGTTTTTTTTGGTGTATGGATATGGGCTACAACCATGATACCTTGCAATTCAATCTGTCAGAACTGCTATAGGTTATAGCAACAGCAGTTTGTTTCCTCTGTATTTTTTTATAAGGGCAGATTCATATATACCTCCAGGACACATTTTTGTGCAAACACCAGTGACATTTGTTCCAAACTGTTCCCGAACAAACATCCTGAAACCATCACCAAGGCACACCGTCATCGTTCCATCTCCCAGTGCTTCGCGAATGCAGGTCCATTGGGGATATAAATTGGTGCAGTCATGTACAGGATGGTGCCCCCCAGTTATAAGTTGGTTTATAAACCCCATTAACTATAGTTATATCTGCCATAAATCATAGTTATTGGAGTTATTTGCACCAACTTAGCTAACTATGGGGCACCACCTCGTAGTGTAGCCACCCATGTAATAATTGAGATACACATGTTGTACTTTTCTGGGTGCAATTGTGCTAGAACTTTTCATGAGAGCTTGCGCTGTTACTGTTGAGTTCATCCTGATTTATGGCCATATTTATGGTACACTAAAAGCAAATGGCTCCGAAAATGGTGACTACTCCCCAATGAAATCCATGAAAATCATGATTTAATAAGTTGAATCCCTATTCAAACAGGCGGATTTTTGGCATAAATCCGCCAGTTTTTTTTGGCCGCGCAGATTGCGTTGCATGGCTTCCGCCATCCGCCTCTTCCGCTCGCACGTCACGGTGGACGTCGAGGTCGCGGAGCTTGCGGCTCCGCATCGACGGCTTACGAATCGACGCCTGGAGATGTTGTGGGATCGGCTTTGCATACGACACCGAGGTGGGACCAGTTGCCTCGATGGGATCAATGGATATCAATGGACGAGAATGGAACGGATGATATTTTTTCTCGGATGATAGAAATGGGAATATGGGTTTAATAATGGTTTAATATATGGATGTCAATGGGATATGATTTGGGATTTATGGGATATAAATGGATATCAGCAATAATATTTGGAGAATATATGGATGAATTTGATAAGAACCTCACGCGTGACGTATTCCTTAGGAATATGTTTATATGGGGGGAATCATTCCAAAATGGCTTTATGTCGGTGATTTTCAGGTTGGTGAATTACTATCATGAAAAATTAAGCATGAAAAATGAAGGATTGATCATGACCAAAAAGCTATCATGCAAGATAAACACGGAGGATCAACCATGAAAAAAATGGAGGCTGGATGGTTGCAAGGATGCCCAGAGTTTTCGGTTCGGTCGTTGGAGCCTGTCGAGAATATATTGTACAGTTTATTGTCGATTGACTCGATAGAGTGGAACATCTAATCCCATCCCCCTAATATTTTAAAATATATTAAGCACCCCCCGAATGGTCCCAATTATGTGGAAATTCCCTACTAAACCATGGCTTATCATGGCTTCTAGGGAGGTGTTTAATATTAGGGGCATGGGATTATTGAAATGCTGGGATATTTTCCAGCAAAACTATGGGATTGAATTTGCAATATCAACACTGGGGAGATCAGCCATTTTCACACCGTTCTACGGTAAGCACAGTTTTGGCCATTTATCAGTTATAAGTACTAACAAAACCCCATTTATAGAATGTATAATCCCACTTAAAACCAGTTATAACTGATAAATGGCCATAACTACATAAACAACTAAGGGGTACAACGCCAAGAAGTATCATTTTCAGTAGATGAAATGGGAAGGTCACATAGATGTCAGCCACAATCATGGGGGTGAGCCAGGCTCATTAGTTGGGTCTTCACAGACTCTATGGGGATGAAAAACAACAAACATATTGAAACGATTAACAAATACCCTTTGGTAAACTAACATAGCTATAGAAAATCACCATTTTTAATAGGTAAACCATCTTTAAATGTGCCATGTTCCATAGCTATGTTAGTTTACCAGAGGGTACCATTGTTGATTGATCATGAAATAGTGAGTTATACTACCTATATTGTATTGGGATTATTGTCTAACCCATAGTCTGGAAACCGTTTTCAAATAACTAGTATTTTATGAGATGGGATGGGGATATTTTTAGTGGCTCATCCGAATCAATCAAAATCAAAAGGCTAGTTTTATGACCGACAAAGATTAGGACTTCATAGGTAGACTGCGAAAGTTTCCGCTAGATATGGATACCTATGGAACGCTTGAATTATGGAAAACCCATGGCATCCCATGGCAATTTTTGACCCTGTGAATACAGCACGGTATCAAAATGGTTGTTTGGAAATTATACTTTTGCCTACCAATGACGGATACAGTTGCATAAGGCATATTTCTTGGGATATCTGAAACCAAATTTTGGAGTAATTTTGGAGGCTGCTATTGTTTTTTCACAAGCTTTCAGACTCAGGCAGAAGGTTTATCATGGGAAACATGATTTAGGCGCCTGAAGCAAGACCGAGAGTTGATCGATGGAACCCCAAACATCTTTCTACTGGAATCTGGCCAGTGTCTATCCCACCATGCGATTTGACACCTGCAACTTGCAAGACCATGTTATGATATCTCATGGTTATTCATTGAACATCTCTTGACTTGAGATTTCATGGCCTAGGATAGCTAACCAACCATCGACTTTCATACTTTCTGGGATGGGTGGCTAACCAAAGTTGCTTGTTACCGTTCAAATATCCACAGTATTGCGTTGATATGATTACTGTTCACAGTTGACGACAACCGTTGATATGTGCTGATAGTTCTTCATTTCAACACTATTAGTATTTCTACCATGTATTTCTATGATTTCTATGTTCTTGTTCTTTTGTCCATACACTTCAATCTGATTGTTACCGCCCGGTACTTAAAACATGACCATTTACATAGTTGATTTATATTACCTATATTAAAACATATGCTTTTCGATATCTATGTTAGTTTCTTTAAACGTTCACCAGATGAAACTTCTTGTTGACCTCGGAAGGCGACAAGATGAGCGGCGAAACGGCGCACCGCGACGTGGCCCGCTTCAAGCTGCCGGAAGACGAAATCTTCGGCGGCTGGCTGAACTTGGAACCTCGGCGGACGGGGTCACTCTGGGCTCCATGGCTGGTCGTTTGGAATTTGGGGGGGTAATGTGGTACCCTCAAAACATCTGGGTGAACGGTTTGAAACAACTGGAACATCACCATGAAACTCATAGGTAAATCGGTAAATCGACTCATTTTTATCATCGTTAAGTGAATGGGCCATTTTCCATAAGCTATGTTAAATAACCAGAGGGGAATATGTGGCAACATTTCTACAATAAACCATCCCCATGGTGATCATATATACCTTCTGGAAATCACAAATGAGAATGGGCATGTCACCCAGTTTAGATCAGTTTCCTGTTATATGGCTGCAGCTCAAAATGTAAGGTTCCGATCCATACCCCGGGACCACATGCGATCCATACCCCATGCTCCATACCCATGATCCATACCCCTTTAGAGGACATGATCCATACCTATGATGCATACCCATGATCCATACCTCAGTAATTGCAAATCCTGGGCATGTATTGGTTTTGTTTCTGAGTTATGCCTATGGGATTCTTCAGTTTCTGTTTCACGCATTGCGTTTTGAGTGAGGGGTCAGGGCCAGCTATTTGATGCATGTGATCTAAATTTATGTATATATATATATATGTACACATATTCAAATTGAAAAAATATGTGTATATATATATATTTAGATATACATATGCAAATCTACATACAGATAGATTCACATATACATGTATATGTATATATATGTATATATACATACATACACGTTTTAAAATGTACATATAGATTCAGGGGCAATGGAATTCACGGTACCCACGAAATATATGACCAAGGGACGTGTTGGAGCTGGTTTGTCGCTATTGCTACCATCAAGGAATTTATGTTTATGTTGGTATGATGGCTCGCAATCTGCAGCTTAAAGTATACTTGGGGTTGTGAGGGATTATGAACACCACAATATCCACCAAATCAGCCAAGGGTTATTCACGATTGGTTTCCGTTCCAGCAAAAGGATTGAATTAGATTTTCAATCTACCACCAAAACAATCAGCCAGAAATTTCAGAAATTCGGGTCCATTTCGTCCCATACCCCGATCCATACCCGTTCCATGCCCGAATCATGCCATGTAGGACCCATCCCCCATCACCACCATTTGTTGATATTCAAGTGTATTCAATGTATCAGATATATCCCACATCCTCTCTATGTTGCAGCCATGCCGCTGATGAAATCATTAAATAGGTATGTGCATATGTATTTCTATTATATATGTATGTGTTTATTTCTCTATTTATATTTATATTTAAATAATATGATATTTATATTCATATCCATGTAAGCCCTTATGACAAGGTCCGGATCAAAACGCTTGCTGACAACTCGTTCCATACGTTCGGATCACCGCGAAACGATCCATACCCGTTTTTTGAGCCATACCCATTTATATATATATATATATGTGTATATATATATGTGTATATATATATATGTATATATATATATGTGTATATATATATATATGTATTTATATATATATATACATATATATATATGTATATATATATATTGGATTTTCCCTTGCCTTGTTCACCAAGGGCTGGGTTTATCATGCGTTACCCGCTTGTAATCCTACTGGGCTAGCTGGAACATCATATTCCATTGAGTTCGGGGATATCCCAGGCAGACATGGTGGATGACACCGGTGGGTATACTACTTGTGACCTTGTATGCTTTAACCAGCTATGGTCAAAATGGGGCACTCCCTGTAATTTCTTGGGGAACACATGTTTGATCAATCACATTGACCCCAGAAACTGAACTCAGCACAATCGGTTTTGATGTCATGCCTTCTTTGGCCAATTTTGGACAAACACAATCTTACTGGTGCTTAGTAGGGAGGGAATGATCCACAATAACTATCAGTAATCATTCCATTCCCTATTCCCATCCATTCCCTACTAAGCACCAGTAAACAGTTTCTATTGTAGAATGCCCTTACTCGTAGCACTTCAGCCCAGGACGCGCAGAGTCAATACTTCCATTGTGTTCCTGGAAGTCATAGAGACACAACATGCTCCAAAGTCGGCCACTTTGACTCATTACTGGCTGGTGGTTTGAAAATGGTGATTTACATTGATTTACTCATTGAAAATGGTGATTTTATATACTGGTCGGTGGTTGGAACACAATATATGGAAATGTCATCATCCCAACTGACGAAATCATATTTTTCAGAGGGGTAGGTATACCACCAACCAGATTAACTCGACTCGACTTGGGTGTGAACAGGGACAATTCCCAAAGGCTCCAAGGCCAGATCAAATGTGAATTCCGCGAAAATTCAGATCTGTTGGCGAGTGATGAACCATCAACGCAGCCTGGAGGATGAAACCCTTCCTGAGTGGATGCAAGATCCCAGATCCTTAAAACATCTGTCATTGCCAGAGCATTCCTCAACTGCTGCTGTAAATCTTGAAATATTTGGATAAGTGATTTGGGGCGGCAAGGACACTTTCATGTCAGATGGTGATCCAACCAAGCACAGGCACTTGCGAGGTACCCCCCGAGTTTTACAGTGGTTTATAACCACCCTTAAGGTCCCGTAACTATAGATATATCCTAAGTACTTTTGGGGTTTATCCTCACTAGAACTATGGTAGATAGGACCCCCCTGAAGGTTACAGTGCTAAGATCCACAATTCCTAGTGATGTAATCTATTTATAAAGCAACGCAGCTAACTATGTGACACCACCTTGTGATTCATGGATGCACTGACAGGCTTTTGTCGTGAGCCCTCCAAAGCGTCCTCAATGAGACGTGTGGCCACTCGTTGCAGAGGGTCAGAGGTCCTTTTTGAGGTGGTGAGCATCGGAATCTTATAATTTAGACCCCTAAATCTTACTCGAAATATGTTGGAATAAAATCGGTGACATGAAGTATAGCCTGAGTTGAATGGAAAGAATGATTTGAGTTGATGTTGCTTTGTATCTTAAATTAAAGCGTCTCCATCCCTGTTCGCACCATTTAAATCTCCATGTTTGACTTTGTTAGTCTTAGTCTGTCTTTATTTAGTTATTCCTTCATTCAAACATCACCATGTCCAATATGCAAAGCTGCTTGGTGGTTTCAAAACATTGGCTTGTTTTTTCATGAAACTGCAATCCCCCTAGTATATCAAACACCCCCCATTCTATGGTCCCCAATTTTTTCTGTGTTCCAATCTCGTTCCAATCCACAATGATTTCTGGAGTCGGTTAGATATTAGGACTAGGTCATTGGTTCATTCACCAATTATATATACCATCTTGTTATTTAACATAGCCATGGAAAATCACCATTTTTAATAGGTAAACCATCTTTTTCTATGGGCCATCTATACCATGGCTATGTTAAATAACCCGAGGGTAGGGCTTTCCATAGTCATGGTGGTACCCCCCAAATGGATGGCTAATGGAAAAGACCAATCTAAAATGGATGAGAACTGGGGGTGCCCCTATTTCAGTAAACCTCCATTTATATATATAATTATATATATATATATGTATTTAATTATATATATATATAATTATATATATAATTATATATATATATAATTATATACACATACATGACACACAAACACACACATTCCATTCATATCCCATTCTACCCCCATTGAGGAAATCCCAACTGAGGAGGTTCCGGCCGGGCATTTGGTGATTTTCTTCCAAGAGATCCTCCATGAGGCGCCGGTGGAGCTCTTCGAAAAAGAAGAAATCTAGTGCAAAATACCCTCTGGTTATTTAACATAGCCATGGGAAATGGCCCATTTATAGATGGCTTACCTATTAAAAACGGTGATTTTCCATGGCTATGTTAAATAACCAGGGGATAGAAGAAAATAGTTTAGCTATGGTAAATATCTAGGACACAGTATGGAGTATTACCAATGGCAAAAATCTAGTCATACTATGGTAGTTGTAGGTATACTATGGAAAAAACTAGTTTATCAAGGGTAGATTATGGTAGTATTTCACTGGACATAGTCTGTATTAGTCAAAATATGAAGGATAAGTACCTAGAAAATTGAAATAGAGATAGAACATGATAGAACTAACAATAAAGGATTATAATGATAACCGTCTAATGGGAGAAACTATGGTAACGGGTAACCCAATAATAGACCCAAAAATCACAATGGGCACTGCTTGTTGTAATCTTAAGACTGGTAATTATATATGGTCCAATGGCGATATAACACACACATATATAGATATAATGATAATATATAATCTCGATGGCATACATAGAATACAGAATCGATAATTTCGGCCTCCAAAAGCATCTTCCGGAATCGGTCAAAAAAACCTATACATAGAATAAAAGCATCTTCCGGAATCGAAAAAAAAAAACTATACATAGAATATTTCCGGCTATCCATTTTGATCCAGGAAAATATGTTTTCTCAGGTTTTGCTGGATTGCTGCAGCCGCCTGTTATTCAAACCCGTCCCGCAAAGGGACCAATTTCTTTTTATATTGTATTTAAAAAATGAACTTTTCAGGTTCACCGAAGGGTACCCCCCACGACTGGTGTTGTAGAACTTTGTAGAACTATGAAAAAACATATTTTGCAATGAAAACCAATGGAATTGGGTGGTGATCCTCAAGAAATTGATGAATATGTTCACTGGGGACCTATATTCTATGTATGTAGTTCTGCAAGGAATTGGGTCTCTTTCATGTATAAAGGCCTTATAAGGGTATACATTATATACGTAATTCCCTTTGGGGAGTAGCAACCCGGGATGTCTGAAGTTCCTCAACTAGAACATTTCAACAAAAAAAACGGGCACCCCAAAATGATCAATTTCTTTTTATATTGTATTTAAAAAATGAACTTTTCAGGCTCACCGAAGGGTACCCCCACGACTGGTGTCATAGAACTATGAAAAAACATATTTTGCAATGAAAACCAATGGAATTGGGTGGTGATCCTCAAGAAATTGATGAATATGTTCACTGGGGACCTATATTCTATGTATGTAGTTCTGCAAGGAATTGGGTCCCTTTCATGTATAAGGGTATATATCATATCCGTAATTCCCTTTGGGGAGTAGCAACCCTGGATGTCTGAAGTTCCTAAACTACAACGTTTCAACAAAAAAACAGGTCACCCGAAATGACCAATTTCTTTTTATATTGTATTAAAAAAATGAGTTTTTCAGGCTCACCGAAGGGTACCCCCCACGACTGGTGTCGTAGAACTATGACAAAAAAACTATTTTGCAATGAAAACCAATGGAATTGGGTGGTGTTCCTCAAAAAATTGATGAATATTTTCACTTGGGACCTATATTCTATGTATGTAGTTCTGCAAGGAATTGGGTCTCTTTCATGTATAAAGGCCTTATAAGGGTATACATTATATACGTAATTCCCTTTGGGGAGTAGCAACCCGGGATGTCTGAAGTTCCTCAACTAGAACATTTCAACAAAAAAAACGGGCACCCCGAAATGATCAATTTCTTTTTATATTGTATTTAAAAAATGAACTTTTCAGGCTCACCGAAGGGTACCCCCACGACTGGTGTCATAGAACTATGAAAAAAACTATTTTGCAATGAAAACCAATGGAATTCGGTGGTGATCCTCAAAAAAATGATGAATATGGTCACTGGGGACCTATATTCTATGTATGTAGTTCTGCAAGGAATTGGGTCTCTTTCATGTATGAGGGTATATATCATATATGTAATTCCCTTTGGGGAGTAGCAACCCTGGATGTCTGAAGTTCCTAAACTACAACGTTTCAACAAAAAAACAGGTCACCCGAAATGACCAATTTCTTTTTATATTGTATTTAAAAAATGAGTTTTTCAGGCTCACCGAAGGGTACCCCCCACGACTGGTGTCGTAGAACTATGAAAAAAAAACTATTTTGCAATGAAAACCAATGGAATTGGGTGGTGTTCCTCAAAAAATTGATGAATATTTTCACTCGGGGACCTATATTCTATGTATGTAGTTCTGCAAGGAATTGGGTCTCTTTCATGGATAAGGGTATATATCATATATGTAATTCCCTTTGGGGAGTAGCAACCCTGGATGTCTGAAGTTCCTAAACTACAACGTTTCAACAAAAAAACAGGTCACCCGAAATGACCAATTTCTTTTTATATTGTATTAAAAAAATGAGTTTTTCAGGCTCACCGAAGGGTACCCCCCACGACTGGTGTCGTAGAACTATGAAAAAAAAACTATTTTGCAATGAAAACCAATGGAATTCGGTGGTGATCCTCAAAAAAATGATGAATATGTTCACTGGGGACCTATATTCTATGTATGTAGTTCTGCAAGGAATTGGGTCTCTTTCATGTATAAGGGTATATATCATATATGTAATTCCCTTTGGGGAGTAGCAACCCTGGATGTCTGAAGTTCCTAAACTACAACGTTTCAACAAAAAAACAGGTCACCCGAAATGACCAATTTCTTTTTATATTGTATTAAAAAAATGAGTTTTTCAGGCTCACCGAAGGGTACCCCCCACGACTGGTGTCGTAGAACTATGAAAAAAAAACTATTTTGCAATGAAAACCAATGGAATTCGGTGGTGATCCTCAAAAAAATGATGAATATGTTCACTGGGGACTATATTCTATGTATGTAGTTCTGCAAGGAATTGGGTCTCTTCCATGTATAAGGGTATATATCATATACGTAATTCCCTTTGGCAAGTAGCAACCCTGGATGTCTGAAGTTCCTAAACTACAACGTTTCAACAAAAAAACAGGTCACCCGAAATGACCAATTTCTTTTTATATTGTATTAAAAAATGAGTTTTTCAGGCTCACCGAAGGGTACCCCCCACGACTGGTGTCGTAGAACTATGACAAAAAAACTATTTTGCAATGAAAACCAATGGAATTGGGTGGTGTTCCTGAAACAGTTGATGAATATTTTCACTTGGGACCTATATTCTATGTATGTAGTTCTGCAAGGAATTGGGTCTCTTTCATGTATAAAGGCCTTATAAGGGTATACATTATATACGTAATTCCCTTTGGGGAGTAGCAACCCTGGATGTCTGAAGTTCCTCAACTAGAACATTTCAACAAAAAAAACGGGCACCCCGAAATGATCAATTTCTTTTTATATTGTATTAAAAAAATGAGTTTTTCAGGCTCACCGAAGGGTACCCTCCACGACTGGTGTCGTAGAACTATGAAAAAAGAACTATTTTGCAATGAAAACCAATGGAATTCGGTGGTGATCCTCAAAAAAATGATTAATATGTTCACTGGGGACCTATATTCTATGTATGTAGTTCTGCAAGGAATTGGGTCTCTTCCATGTATAAGGGTATATATCATATCCGTAATTCCCTTTGGCAAGTAGCAACCCTGGATGTCTGAAGTTCCTAAAGTACAACGTTTCAACAAAAAACAGGTCCCCCGAAATGACCAATTTCTTTTTATATTGTATTAAAAAATGAGTTTTTCAGGCTCACCGAAGGGTACCCCCCACGACTGGTGTCGTAGAACTATGACAAAAAAACTATTTTGCGATGAAAACCAATGGAATTGGGTGGTGTTCCTCAAAAAATTGATGAATATTTTCACTTGGGACCTATATTCTATGTATGTAGTTCTGCAAGGAATTTGGTCTCTTCCATGTATAAGGGTATATATCATATCCGTAATTCCCTTTGGCAAGTAGCAACCCTGGATGTCTGAAGTTCCTAAAGTACAACGTTTCAACAAAAAAACAGGTCCCCCGAAATGACCAATTTCTTTTTATATTGTATTAAAAAAATGAGTTTTTCAGGCTCACCGAAGGGTACCCCCCACGACTGGTGACGTACACGCATTTTAATGCAAAGAGGGTGTTCGCTTGTATTCTCTTCTGTTCCTGACCTTGCTTTTCCTTTTCCTTTGATGCTCATGCATTTGTCGGTACAATGATTGCCTTAAATTTGGCAATCGTGATCCAAAACTTACGCAGAACCCAAAAAATGTTCAATCTGCTGGGTTTCACACATGTTTTCGATATGGGAACATCGTTATTCCTATGGTATTTGCTTTGGCACTGTTTATGCACTCCAAAATTCTACCCCAAATATTCTAAGTATTTTTTTTTCTGTCCACACCCGTAGGGTTGAAATCGGGCATATTCTATGTATCCCATCGGGATTATATATATATATGTAATATGATGTAATATATATATACTACATATCACCAATAATACTGTTTGTATTGACTTGAACTGAAACGATACGTATTGTTGAGCAGTAGCCATTCGTTGTCAAATGTGTTCTCATGCTCAATGGCCCACTCTTGATTTGCGTTTTTTTTTTACTGGCCCTTCACATTTTGACCCATCCAGCAGTATCCCATTGAATTTGTGGATTCACGTGTTTGTTTTGTGGACTGCCCATATCTATATCTCATTGGATTGGTTTAAGAAAATTTACAGGAAAACCCTATATTTGATGGTAAAAACCATAGTTTCCGTTTCCTGTAGATTTTCCCTTAAGCCAATCCAGTGAATATCCCTACAATGGCTGGTATGGCTGGTAACCTCCATAAGAACTACGAACTTTACCAGGAATGGCTAGTATACAATGCTATCACTGCGACATCCCTATAGATGTTGTAACGACAATCCGTTCGCCACGTTCGCCACACATTCGGCCTGGGGGTATGTGAAACCATTCGTAAAACGACAGAAAAAAACCATTCATGAACCACTGGTTCATCATCATTTTCTCCATTAACATTGACATTTTTGGAAAGTAACGCTCACACATCGCCAAACAGCCCATTGGCCCATTGGATGAAAACCACTGGATTTAGCACTGCCAGGTGCCTCGTCAAAGCTGCAAATGTTCCACTTCCTTGCGCCTCTTTGTGGGTTTCAGTGCTGCAAACACTTGATCTGTGCTCAATGAATGCGTCAATGGCCAATGCCCCTTGTGGAGGATTATTGGGGATAAACAAAATCTATGAAGGAGTGTTTCTTTATAGGAAAAAGCTATGCCAATTAATGTTACCAATATCCCGAACTGGTTCTTTATGGAGGAACACTATGACCACTATGTCACTATGCCCAATGATCATCATTTATGACATATCTCAAACCAAACTTTAGGGAGGGTTGAACATGTGATAGAGATAAATCCACACTATCGTTTGGTGAGCAAGTGTACACGCAGCACCGGATAATCCACTACATTGAAACACTGCAAAAACCCACCGTTAACATCGTACTTGAGGGATTTCCCATTGCCACATTGCCAGCTTTGATTATGTACATCTGTGTGTTTGAAATTGGGGTATACCAATTTATGGCCATTGAGTGGGGGAAACAATGCTTAGTCATGTTTTTGGGTCCCTATCTTCAGACAAAGCCATATTTCCGCCAACCTGGCTTCAATCCTGGCTTCAAAGGGGACCCGTTTCTTCAACTCCAGCGGACTGCTGCAGCATTTGTTTTTTCCAAACGCCTTCTGAGACTATATGGTATACCCCCAATTATAGCCATTTAGTAGATTTAGTAGGGATAATGATCATTAACCATTGGGTGTAGGGGTACACTATTTTCAGACAAACCCATATGTGGAGTTGATTTGTGTCCGAAGACCTCAGATGGTATTTGGAGCACCTCAGAGAGTTTCCAGCCGAAAATCTGCGGTGCGACGGCATTTTTTTTGGTTGAACACATATCAGAATTGTGCTGACCAAAGATATCACTAAATCATGAAGATGTGCGGGTGACAAGCCACTGGCATTTGCGGGGTGATACAACTAATATTAACATTTCTATAGGTCTTGTCTAGAGAGTTGTAGAGGTACAAAAATCTACATCAAACAAACAAACAAACAACCAACCAAACAAACAAACAAACAAACAAGCCACATCCCATGTAACGCAAGTGAGTCTGGGATATCTCAGTGGATATGTTTCCCTTAAACGAAATCCAACTTCCGTTCCGGCGATAGGTTGGCGCCTCACTCGATCCACCTTAAGCCTTCAAGACCTGGCAGCCAAGAAGAAGCCAGGTGTGGGGAACAGTTTGTTATGGTTTGCGAACTGGAGAGTCCCCATGTTTAAGTTTGGTAAATCAACTTTGCTACAGAGAACCACAATATTATCAATGTATCCATATATATATATATATTTACTATTACTCGACACCAGGTAAATCAACGAAGTAAATGGCAATTCTCAATACAATGTGATGCCCCCCAGTTATAAGTTGGTTTAGATTCGCCCCAGTAACTAGTTCGTTATAAGTACCATAAACCATAGTTATTGGAGTTATAAACCAACTTAGCTATCTTGGGGGCCCCACTTTGTAGCTATTGTAACAGTCATTACCAGATGGTAGATGGACATGGATGTTGCTACAGCTTGTGACCAGCGTCCCTGGAGGTGTTCCCACCACCGCCATGCTGGTGGCGACGCAGGGTGTGCCGTTGCTACCCAGCGGCCAAGAGCCACCGATGTATGCGCGGAATCACTTCAACTTTTGGAGAAAAGGCCTGGAAAAGCTGTTGGAAACCGGACTCACCAAAGATGTTCTTGGAAAAACACTGGGGGATTCAAACATGAATGGCGGTACTCAATACCTGTCAAAATTAAAGCATTTTTGTTGTAAGATGAAGGATTCCCCTAGTCATCCAAGTTGGCAATTTTTTCGGAAACCAAGGATGAAAACAGGTTTCCAGCAGCAGCTGAGGTGCCCACGCCACTTGGTGTTTTGAAAGATATTCCAATTGAATATATACTCTCTGGTAATTGAACATTCCCGAATTAGATGGAGCTTATAGCTGGGGAAATCATCTACACATGATGGATTTTCCAGCCATGTTCGATTGCTGATATTGCTGGAGGGTACTTGTCATTCATGTTGAGATGAGGTTCAACTCTCTACTTGGTGGCTCATCCGACTTAGTAAGTGGGTTATAACCCCAGTTATAAGTGGATTAACCCTACTTATCCCATTTATAAGTGGGGTTATAACCCACTTACTAAGTGGGATGAGCCACCAAGTAGTCACTTAGTCATGGAATCTCTGGATTCACGCCCGTCCCTCAGTTCATCCTCGGCCCCTGCAGGTCTCATTGCATGGTCGGAGCAAAGTATCCGCGAGAGCTGTTTAGAGCCACTTGGTGCAGCAAGGACCGAGCATTGACGTAGAGCCACAGCAATTTTAATGTAGGTATGGGTGATAGTTGGAATGGTTGATATGGTATAGTTTCATATGGTTCACTTTGTTTTAAATATACATATGTATATATGTATATATTATTTTTATATTTAATAATATACATATATACAAAATAATATTTTAATAATAATGATAATGATAATGATAATAATAATAGTAATAATAATAAATATACATATTATAATATGTAATGTATAGATTACAATATACGATGAATATATTTGTATCATAATGTGCTTCACAGCAATCTGGTTTATACAGCACAGTTCAATACTAATAATAACCAATTTTGTGTGTGTGTTGTTTGGACCAGTATGAATCTTAGCCAACAAAATTGGGAACTGATCAACCAAACTGTGAGCAAATGCCAATTTCAGATTTGATTAATGTTAAGTGTTTAAGTGTTGGTTAACATTAATCATAGATTTGGATGATGGGAAAATTAACAGGAAAGCCCTATCTTTGATGGTAAAAACCATGGTTTCCTGTAGATTTTCCCGTGAAAACCAATCCAATGAATATCCCTACAATGGCTGGTATGGCTGGTAAACTCTATAAGAACTACGAACTTTACCAGGAATGGCTAGTATACAATGCTATCAGTGGTTAAGTGTCGTTTAACCTTTTTCCGGCTGTTCAATCCAACATGGTAGCCCTGAGGCTCAAAGTCTGCGGCGGATGCGAACGATGGCTGGTGCCGCGCTTTCTCAAGAGTCTCCAAGAGCTTGGCTTGCCGTTGTGACCTGCCGGGTGTGGCTTGTGGACCAGATCACAACGGAAAAGAACGGGAGTCACAACCGGAAAACCGTATTTAAGTAGGGTTAATTAATTATGATTAATGATGGTTAATGATGGTCAATACATGTTAATGTGGTTAATGATGGTTAATGATGGCCAATACATGTTAATGATGGTTAATGATGGTGAATGATGGTTAATGATGGTTAATGATGGTCAATACATGTTAATGATGGTTAATGATGGTTAATGATGGTTAATGATGGTGAATGATGGTTAATGATGGTGAATGATGGTCAATGATGGTTAATGATGGTCAATACATGTTAATGATGGTGAATGATGGTTAATGATGGTGAATGATGGTGAATGATGGTCAATACATGTTAATGATGGTTAATGATGGTGAATGATGGTTAATGATGGTTAATGATGGTTAATGATGGTTAATGATGGTGAATGATGGTTAATGATGGTTAATGATGGTCAATGATGGTGAATGATGGTTAATGATGGTGAATGATGGTCAATGATGGTTAATGATGGTCAATGATGGTTAATGATGGTCAATACATGTTAATGATGGTGAATGATGGTGAATGATGGTCAATACATGTTAATGATGGTTAATGATGGTAAATGATGGTTAATGATGGTGAATGATGGTTAATGATGGTTAATGATGGTTAATGATGGTTAATGATGGTGAATGATGGTCAATACATGTTAATGATGGTTAATGATGGTTAATGATGGTGAATGATGGTTAATGATGGTCGTTACATGTTAATGATGGTTAATGATGGTTAATGATGTTTAATGATGGTTAATGATGGTGAATGATGGTCAATGATGGTTAATGATGGTCAATACATGTTAATGATGGTGAATGATGGTTAATGATGGTGAATGATGGTCAATGATGGTTAATGATGGTCAATACATGTTGACATTCACTTTTGTAATGGAACTGCATCCGAGTGGATCTGCAAGAAGAATGGGTGGCTAATCTATGATGAATGGGTGGTCAAGGGCGGTGAATGGTTTCAGCATCGAACAATACTCTCGAATCTGACTTGATGACGATATAGAATCATTGTCCATGCAGGATGAAATAGGATCCCATAGGATCCATGTATGATATATATGCTAACATTGGGGGTATATTGATGGTAAATGTTACCATATATAGCATACATGGATCCTATGGGATATATAATTAATTATTCCAAATTCATAAGTCCGTAATCTCTGGCGATTCACTCCAGGATTGTGAAAATTGCCAACAAAAACGAAGGATTGTGCAACCCCCAAAGTTCTCATCAACTGTGGCCTTTGAGATTAGAATCCCCGTTAGCCAACTAGTTAGTTATATCCCCCATCAACCGATCGAAACAAACCCTAGTTATTGGACATAAAACAACTTAGCCAACTATGGGGTTCCATCCTGTAACATTAGAGAACTGATGTGATATATCCATGCTTCCATAAATTCTTGCAGGAGATTGTCGACCTCCAGTTTTCATTATAAAATTCCTTTTTCATGGCCCCTGGCCGACTGGTTAGCTGGTTGGTGGTTTGGAACATTTGGATTATTTTCCATATATTGGGAATGTCATCATCCCAACTGACTTTCATATTTTTCAGAGGGGTTGAAACCACCAACCAGCAAAGGTATGCCAAGTACACCGATGAAGAGTTAAGTATTATGCTCCATGGCCGGCGACGGGATAGACGGGTGCACGGAAAAAACGCGGTGCTACCCTCTTCAAGACAAAGGGATCAACTCGAACGTCCTCACCAATGATTACCCTCCGGTTATTTAAAATAACCATGGACAATCGCCATTTTTAAGAGGTAAACCATCTATAAATGGGCCATCTATACCATGGCTATGTTACTCATAACCAGATGGTAAATCATATTGCAGGAAGCATCGAACAATATTCTCGAATCTGACTTGATGACGATATAGAATCATCGTCCATGCAGGATGAAACAGGATCCCATAGGATCCATGTATGGTATATATATATAATATATATATATATATATGCTAACATAAAGGTGAAATATTGATGGGATCCATGGAGCACCATATATAGCAGCACCATGGATCCTATATGGGGTATACTATTGCAAGTGCTCACTTATGTTACTAAATCATCAATCACTGGTTTGTTGGTCAGTTTCTGTGGAGGATGCTCGTAGAAGTCCTGAGGAAACCTGCAGAAGAATGGACCATCTTCGGCAAACGCTTTCGTACCTCGTCTTACGACCGGAGCTTTGGTCAATGGGAATTCCAGGATCCTAAAATGGAGGTACTGTACCATATAAGGCCATATTTTGTGGTGATATTCCCTTACATAGGCCTCAAGAATAGGCCTTATATATGGTAGGTACCTCCAATTTAGGTTCCTGAAATGGACATTGATGTGCCGTGTCACGCGCCCCCCACCGTGTCTTCGACAGTAACCGAAGTTGAGTGTAAGTTGAAGCTGAATACAGCACAACATGGCGCCCTGTCCACTAAACATAGAATTATATAGAAACATGTGAAGCCGAAGCAATTCCAATCCCATAGGATCCATGGTGCTGGTATATATGCTAACATAAAGGGGGTATATTGATGGGATCCATGGAGCACCATATATAGCAGCACCATGGATCCTATGGGAATTGATGGTGAGTTCCTACTAGAATTACCATGTTTTTTTCTATGAGTAGGACTTCCAACTGGCTGCACTACGGTGCACCGTATATGGATCAGACCATCACACCCTTCCAGTTGCTGGCTATGTTCCAGCGACCCTGATGGGGAGATACTAACCAGCAATAGTGGGGATATTCTTCTGGGGATATGTTAGGCCTCAAAAATAGGCCTTACATAGGCCTTACATAGATCGGTACCTCTGATTTTGGTACCTGAAATATTTCTTGAAAAATGGAGAACATTGATATTTTATCGATTATAGATATATTATATACATTTATGGGGATAGAATGTTATTTTGGGGGGAAAATTCTTGGGTTCAAGCATTGTTGGAACATACGTATATATCCTATAAAGCCATCAACAAACCCACAGGATCCATGTATGCTATATATGGTAACATTTACCATCAATATACCCCCAATGTTAGCGAAACATGCAGTGAATCAGAATCAGATTACTTCGACAACGGCAACTTGCTGAATTAGGATACTTAATTACATATCTCATATCAGGTTAGACTAGGATACTATTACCAAGGTGAATTGGTATGGTTACATATCAGGTTGCAATCGACCCCAATTGTCACCCAGGACAGGTATCACAGAAGCGAGCCCCAAACTATGATCTCACCTTCGTGTGTCTCAGGCCCCAGCACTCCATACCACCCTATATTTGATATACATTGATATACTACTTATAGTATCTTCTGGTACTTATAATCTATGGACCTATGGAGTAATTTTCTCATTAATATTTACTATACTTATAGTTTGATAACACCACGTGTATCCCTTTGTAAATCGTGGACTGATCTTTGGTTGGTCGCAAATCTCCATGTGAACTGATCGAACTAGGTCTGTGGCCTGAGTTTGATTTCGTTCCATTGCGCCCACCCGACAGCTGCGGTGAGGCGGGGCTGTAGATTCGCCGACTGGTGAACGGTGAACAGTGGTAAGTCCACCATTTGCGGAATCTACAGTGAGCATTTATGTGTACATGTTGATATTATATGTACATATTTTGGTTACATAATGACAATAGTAATAGATAATAATAGATAGTAGTAATAATAAATAGTAATAGTAATAATTATAATAAGTAGCAATAAAAACAACAAAAAATAACAATAGAAATCATATATCAATAAACTTGTTTGGCAATCTCAAGCCCCTTCCCATGAAAACATGCTGATGTCACCAAGAAAGACAGGCTAGCGAGTACATCAAATGACTGGCGAGTACTGTACATGAACGGCTGTTTCTGAATCTTATCTGGTTGGTGGTTTCAAACATTTTTTTATTTTCCACAATATATGGGATAGTCCTTCCCATTGACTAATATTTTTCAGAGGGTTGAAACCAGCAACCAGTTATACTTCAACGAATATTTGGTGATCTTGACCAAACAACATCCATAGGATCCATATATGACCGATGATTGATGGGAAACATATCAGGGAAATATAAAAATAGGCTGAAATAGGAGGTAAACCACAGGGTGTTTTCTTTAACCTGGTGATCTTGGCATCTCAAACCCATATGAGATAGTATGAGATACTGATGTACTGATCCAAGCTAATGGCTTCAGCGATCCATCCAATACTCCATACCAAACATATAATTTCAATTAAGAAACATATATGCTTTTTAAGGGAGGATACGTACCTCATTCTTCGCATTTGAGATATCGCAGTTGGCTTGGCCAGTCCCTGAGTTTGGTTCCTGGCAGGTTGGCAAGAAGCGGACCTGGAGTGCAATGGAACAGTTGAAAAGCGGACGAGATGTGCCGATGGGTCTCGTGGCAGGTAAGATCAGTTCCCGTTGAACCTAGCAATGGATACAAGTCATTTCAGCGCAGGATGGAAGTGCAGTTTGTTGAGTCCTTCTTTTTCCATCGTTGCCCAATTTTCTGGTGCCAAAGAGAATACCCTTCTGAAGTTTGCCCCGTCATTCTCCGATGTTTAAGGGGCAAATTCTACCCTGTGACCGACCGAACAGTGGTCTAAATGTGCAGATACGCCCTCGCATTTTTGGCGTCCCAGTTCTCAAAAACGCGAACACATATCCCCATCACAAAGGGCTCTGCTCAAGGGCGCCCATTCGCAGGATTCCTTTGGCTTTGTCTAATTAGCGCTTTCATTATGGGCCACTGACCGAGCCATGCTGTGGTCCTTGCTGCTTGTGCTGGCCGCAGAATGTGACTGTGAGGCCGGGGCTTCAAGCGCTGGATTTGTCTGAACATATGGTAGCCATGTGCACCATGGTACCCCTCATCCAGAAAGGTACCTACTCTCGTTGATGGTTAAACGGTTAAACCACCACGTTCCCTACGTTGCAAATGTGGTGATGTTTGGGGTATACCGTGTACCCCATGTTCATCTGACTCATGTGGGAAAAGAATGAGACCAGAAACTTTCAGGCGTTGGTCAAAATTGATCCTGGAGACTGCTTTGTCAGATGTGCTGAGAAGTATCCATGACTGAGAGTTTGTTTATGGGAGCTGAGAACAGGGCTGGATATCTACTCCGTTCTCATTTGGGGTCCTAGTTGAATGACAAAGTTAGCATTCACGATAACAGCAACATCATCATTGTTGGTTTCTATCATGAACTAGAACGAACTATTATAAACAACTACTATGAAACATAGGGGTAGCTATTATAGTGAACTATGAATGGGTGCAACCGCATCCAGTTTCCCAGTTTCAGTGACCCACAGAGTTGCCACGGACACGTTGAAAACTGAAGACTCGTCGCAGTTGTCACTTTCGCAGCAGTATTTATGTATAGTATATAGTTATATACATCACATATGTATATATATATATATATATATGGTTGGTGGTTTGGAACATGGAATTTCCATATATTGGCAATGTCATCATCCCAACTGACTTTTATATTTTTCAGAGGGGTAGGTATACCACCAACTATATATATAATATATTATACATATAATATATATACACACGCATTAAATCAATATGTTTGCAGTATGAATATCACCTCCAGTTCCTCCAAACCTGGCCCCATCCATGCCCCAAGATCGCGGATCAGCGGCAAAATCAACTCATTAGTGAGAATAGTGGTTAATAGTGGTTGGAAGTGGCTAATCGTGGTTGATAATGGTTAATGAGTATATATATATATATATATATACATGTAGAGACAATATATCAAAATGCTCTGAGGTAGATCTTAGGGGGGGGGTACCATATATATATATATATGGCCCAATGAATATTCTGGGTAAATTATAGTGACCTCACTGACCTCACTCGAATCGTGGTAAGGGGAAATATCAGATGGATCATCTCATATGTGAAATCCATAACCCACCTATGAACAAAAGCCACCAATGGTGAAGTAGTTTAATGACTAGCAATACTAACATCCATTGATGGCGAATAATCAATGAAACATGATCAACATTGATATCCAGTATGGCAACCTCAAAATAGATGGAACGATCCATTCAAACCTGTGAATTATCGCGTAAATACCATCTAAACCATCCAGGAAAAGAGACACAACGATCTTTTTGATGCCCCTATCATGAATTGATTGGGGGGAATTTCCCCACAACAATCTAAAACAGTTCTATTTTAGTGAATCGCTATTATATATTAGAATAACTGACAATCACATAGAACCTATGACATTTAAGCCTTGAAGATAAATGCATTGACAATGCACTGGGTGTCCATCTGCAGGAAAGCAGCTTGCAGTTGCTACAACACAAGGCCACCGCAAGGACAGCCACCACTGGAGGCACGCCGTGTGCCCCACATGGATGAGTATACATGATCAACAACTGATGATCATTGCTGTATTTTTTCCATGGATGATATCCATCTATATGATTTCCATGAATGATGTTATAACGTACGTCTGTATAAGTAATAACGACCTCTCTGCGACGTCACTGTAGATCATGATCAGGAAGGGGAGCTGTTCCAAAATGGACTTATTTCAGGTTGGTGAACTGCACAAGTTATCCCGCTAAATCATCCATCCAAAAAATTCGATGGATGATTAGGTTTAGGATAACTTATGCTGTTCAGTTCACCAACCTGAAATAAATATCTGCTTGGTGGTGTCAAACATGGCTGGATTATTTTCCATACACGGGATAATCCTTCCCAATCTGAAGAACTCCATCATGTTTCAGAGGGGTAGGGCTCAACCACCAACCAGATATGATCATCATATGGACGTGGGTCAAAATGGAAGACCTAGGGGACCACAGATGTTAGTCTAGTTTAGTATTCACCATCCAATTATTGGGGTACCTCATTTTGACCCATACCCATATACTTCTGACATGTTCGCAATGGCTCAGGCAGAGAGAATAGCTCATTTACAAAGGTGGCCCCTCGCCAGCGGAGAAAGTTTGAACCATTCGATGGGCAGTCTGACGAGGTTGTACGAGGTTGGAAGAGAAGGATTTGAATGGAGAAGATATCAGAAGATCCACACAAAGTATGGTTGAGATAATGGGACATGCTAGGGATGGAATGGAGATAGAAGGAGGATATTGATATAATGGGATATTGAAGGTATATCTACATTTATATATATATATACATATACGTATATGGATAGCCAAACATGGTGGTGTAAGCATCAACGGAAACGGGTTTTAAGCGCACTTCAGCAATGAATGATTGGACAATAATTAATGGGAATGTAATAATTTATGGGGATGCAGATAGTGGGATTTTCGGTGTAATGGGATATTAGTGGGATATAAATGGGAAGCACAACCAAAAGCTACGTGCGTGATGGATAGCGAATTTAGCCCCCGTTTATGGCCATGTTAACACGCAAAAATATAATTAACAAGTGAATGGAACGGGTACCCTGTAGCTTCAGAAAAACACAAATAGAGATTGTTGAAGGTGACTACTTCAGCGATAAATGGTTTAAGTTGCCCAATTACCATTGTCAACAGATATGTCTGTTGGGTACACATCGTTGCTGGTAGCAATTCCAACTCTGCTGGTAGCTTTTCTCATCAACACATCGTTGATCCTGACATTTTTGGGGGGGACCGGGGAGGATGATCATGCAAGGCTGACGGTAAGACGAAAAAAGGATAGACCTTTAGTAGACCCCATACCCTCTGGTAAACGTTAACATAACTATGGAAAATCACCATTTTTCAAGGGAAAATCAACTATAAATGGGCCATGTTCAATAGCTATGCTAGTTTACCAGAGGATATGTTGGATTTACGTTTTTTTTGAGGCCAACTTGTGGAATCTTGTGGATAGAGATTAGGTGAACATTTCCCAAATCCTGATCCTAATTCCCAAAGATTTCCCAAAGATATTTAGTGGCAAAACATGCCCACCATAGATGTGCTATGCTCAGATATACGTTTGGATCCATATTTTTGGCTTCATGTTTTTGATGTTTTTAAACCTGGACGATAGGGGTGGGGTTTTCCGGGTTTTCCGGGTTTTCCGGGTTTTCCCCAAGGCTCCCTGTCAAGGACCAGTGCAGGCCTGGAGCACAACAGATCCTGGTGCTTTGGATGTTTGGAACATTTGCCCATGACGGATCCGGCTGGTGCTGGTTTTTCTATGCTAACCTAAAGGGGGTATATTGATGGGATCCATGGAGCACCATATATAGCAGCACCATGGATCCTCTGTGTTGGATTATGACTTTCCATTTCTTTTGGGGATAATCATCGGAATGTCATCATCCCAAAACCCAACTGACGAACTTATGTATTTTTCAGAGGGGTAGGGCTCAACCACCAACCAGGATCGCTTAGCGAATATGAATTCAATCCCATGGCAACGACTGGCTCATGGCAGGCTCAGTTAGGCTCAGTTCGGCTCCATGCTACTGTGGATGGTAAATCCTGCCCCACTTTGGATTCTTTGGATGGTTGAAACCCATCAATAATGCTGGTTGGTGGTTTGGAACATGAATTTTATGACTTGCCCATTATATTTGGAATGTCATCATCCCAACTGACGAACTCCATCATTTTTCAGAGGGGTAGGTTGAAACCACCAACCAGAATGGAATGTTTACCACCTATGAGCTGTGACTTCTTTGACTCCCTTCTGTGCAGGTCCTGAGTGATGTCGATGACACCTTTATGAGCAGCGGGGGGTGCTCCCGGCGCAAGTTGGCATATTGTTAGGATATTGGTCGGAGATTGGTAGGATATTACTGGAATATACTGGAATATAGTCTTGGTGGTTTGTATATGTTTATATACTGTACATGGATTTGCTGATGATTTTTTGCTGTTTTTGCCGGAATCTATAGGGATATTTTTCTTGGAGATGGCATCTCCCGGTCTTAGCTCCTGGACAAAACCATGCAGCATTTTTGCCAAAATATCCCATGATATCCCAAGTTTGTGTTGCTACAGTCCCCATAATTTGGCTGGAGCTCCATATCATGTTGGTAAATGTTGGTTGCACATCCCATTGTGCTTATGGAATGTTTTTGATAGTGTATTATAGTGTATTCCTGTTTTTGGGATCCCACGTTCTATTTTTCGCGTGGTCATAACACCATTTGTCATACTCCCAAGCCCATTGTGACCTGACAGAAATCGCATTTTCAGACAAGAATCCCACATACCCTCTGGTAAACTAACATAACTATGGAAAATCACCATGTTCAATGGGAAAATCCACTATAAATGGTCATTTTCAATAGCTATGTTAAATTACCAGAGGGTAATTTTCCAATGTTTCATGGCAAAACTCTGCAAAACTACCAGCATGACATCCCCATTTCACACCCCACATGGCCCGGGGGCCCTATTTCCCCATAGAATTTCCCAAGGTAACCC